GCTAAGTTGAAATCGAAATCTTCAATGTCGGAAAAGCAACTAACAATATTGCATTGCAAGTGAAACACTAAATTCTTCATAAGAATGTTGAAAGCCTGATGTTGAATTTTGTCGGGAATATAACGCCATATGTAAGCACGTTAAGTGTTAATTGAAACCGGTGAATTTACATTCAAACAGTGACCTTTTCCTTAGATTTAAAATTCTTTTCTTTTCTTTTCTTTTTTTTTTTCTTTTTTTTTTTTGAGGTCCTATATCACTAACTATTATATTAACTAGCATATCAAAACATGAAAGACTTACTGATCCTAATTTTGCACTGCTTTATATGAATCATTGTAACATCTACATCTACATTTTATTGTCAGCAGGAACTATACATTAAGTTATCACGCTAACTACAGATCAAAGTCTACAAGATGTGAAGCAAATGATTCAACTCATCTTTAAATTATTTTTTTTAAAGTATTGAACAGTTGAATATATAATAGTTTTACCAGATTGTTGTGAAATCTTGTTGAATCCCGAAATGACTCCCAAAGGACGAAAAATAAATTTTCAAGGAATGAGAAGTTAAAGCATTGAATATTTCTGTGGAAAAATCACTTTGAAGATAACTGCTGTTGTTCTCTATGTTCCTGGTCATCCGTCGTTCAAAAGTAGAAGCGATTTTTCTACACCTGGTTCGACCCGCACCACCAGAAGGCCACACTGCGTGTACTACGGTTCCACGGATTGCATTTATGCTGTGAAAAGCAATAGGCAGCCACCTGCTCATAAAGGATTAAGTTTAAACCAAAATTTCTCTTTCTAGAGCTAAAAAACAATAATGGCAAACGCTTGTATTACGTAATTTAATTTAGCTTAGCTTTTCTTACAGTTGAAGTGATTCTTTGTCTTACGTCACAAAAAAAATTTGTCTCCGACTGCATTGATCACGTTTTCTTTTCTTTCTTTCTTTCTTTCTTTCTTATTTATTTATATTTATATTTTTTCTTCACCTATTTATTAAACTATATATTTATTTATTCTTATTTTTATTTACTTATTTATTTATTTATTTACTTATTTATTTATTTATTTATTTATTTATTTATTTATTTATTTATTTATTTATTTATTTATTTATTTATTTGTTTGTTTATTTGTTTGTTTGTTTATTTGTTTTTTTTTTCTCCATTCATTCATTCATTCATTCATTCATTCATTCATTTTACAATTAGTGAGTTTTTATGTCTTCGATAGATTTGGCTGCAGAAGGAAACGACTTAATCAACCATCCTGTCCCGAAAAATCATCGATTAATAAACTTGAATATCCTCAAACCTTTTTCGCATTTATGTATCAGAAACATATCATATTGCCTGGTTATTTTATTGTTGTTTTAAACTTTTAAACTAAACCATATTTTGTTACCTGATCTAGTGTCTTGTTTCAAATTTTGAGTGGTTTTCACCATTAAAAGAGAATTCTTTTCGTATTCAAGCAGTGAGCGCCAAAAACTATTTTCTTGAAGAAAGGCTGTTATACAAGGCTATAATCTTGTTATTCAGAAAGTTTAACTTGTTTGGAAGTGGAGATGACCGATGAAAGTGGAATCAAAGTGTTAACCTAAAGCAAAAATTTTATTCGAAAATGAGGTTTAGGCCTTCATTTGTTTATTTCCCATACATTTTCCTTAAAAAAAGCCTGACAAAGCAACATTCTAACACAAATGCAACAAAACATCTTTGTACAATTGAAAATACCGCTTCAAACAGGCATTTTATCATAGTACATCAGTTTCTAACTGTTAAAAAAAGGTTTTGAGTGTTGACCCAAAACGAAAATTGGGATCAAAACTCATACGAAAGTCTAGTTTTTGGCGCTTTTTGCCATTATTGCTCATTATTGAAAAACATTTCCTCTTGATGTACAATGTTGTCCCCATTAGATACATTAAACAAAGTGCATCATCAAATCAAGCACACAGGGTACCAAATCGCCATCTTCCTTTCCTTGCTTGTCGTGATATTCAAAATTCAAAAACAATTGCGGGATACCCGTAGTAATGCATTAACTCATAGACCATTTCCGGAATTTCTTTGTTTTCACAATACTATCGATCAAAAACAAGCAATAGGAAGCCTTTGTAAAATGTTTTAAGACACCTATAAGGCGGGATTGTAGAGCTTTGGGTAATTTTTAAAATGGCTGACTAAGAAGCCAATGGACGTACAATATTGAAGATGCGAATTGTGTTTCGTGAAGCAAATTTTTCTTGGAGAAAAACCAACTCAAATACAATATAACCCATAACCCTAGATAGTTCTATGTATGTCTTGATTATTTCTGATCATTAAGGTCGTTAAAGTTCCATTTTTACGCACTCCATTCCAGCGAATCGTCGAATTTCTCGTATCACAAGTTTGCCAACAATGCTGAGCATTTTGGAGAAATGCGTTAGGATTTCTGCGTCACAACCGATGTTTCTTGCCTCTTCAGAATAGCAATCGATCCAAGAATTGACGTCATCACAGATCTAGGGGGAAATGTTTCTTTAAATGGAGTGATAATAGGACAGGACAGGGCAGGAAAGGACAGGAAAGCAACAACAACAGCACATGCAGAAACGAGTAAGGTAACTAACGAAGTGCTCTGCCTCTGAGTATACATTCAATTCAAAAACGTTGTCGTCGACCGGCTTAAGCCTATGCGACTGGACCGAAAAATCACTGAAGCGGTTAAATATTCGTTCTGAATTAATTGTTCCCGCCAGTAATAAGATAATAATGGCGAGAAACAATCCATCAAATGTATGTCTTTGGGTTTAGGGAAAGGAAAACAAAGTAGTTATGATTCAGTTCACAATTCCGAAAATATGAAGGCATTAAAAAAATGTCTCCTTCAACACTTCCCGCTCGCCTACGAAGGTTCATGCTGTAAACCAGGCATAACTAGTCAGATAAAATTATGGAGTCAACTCGGCTTCAATGATTGCTGTCCAGAGTTCCTTTCGGTCCAGTCGCGTAGGCGTGAGTTGGTCGACGACAACATTTTTTGAATTGACTGTATGATGTTAAACGTACCTTGCGCTCTTTAGCGAATAGTGTGACGTATTTCTTGACACAGTACTTGTGGACATCAATAGCACAGGTATCCCAAGCCTCCTCGTCACCTGACAAGGAAGTATTAATAATAATAATAATAATCATCATCATAATCGTCATCATAATCATCACCATCATCATCATGATAATAATAATTATCAATAATGATAATAATAATAACGTTCTAATGATGACATATCTACATGGTATCTCTACATTCATCATATTAAGTTATACGAATAAGATGGGGGGGGGGGGGGGAATATATATGTATGTATGTAATGAACAAATGAATATAAAACCGAATACGATGTGTGGACTGGGCAGAGGTTCCCCGTGGAGCCCAAACTGTAGAAGGAACAGCAAATAGACATTTAAAAATTTACTCTTCCCTCTCCAAACCGAACCATGCGAAGTTTAAAGAGTTGCAGAACTTAAACCATCCCGTTCTACTCATTGTACCCTCACCCTCTCCCCCAAGGTATTATCTTTACCACTACCACACATCACGGAGAGCGAATGATAGATAGTTGAAACTTATTCTACCCCACCCTCTCCCCAAAGGTATTATCTTTACGCGAAACTTACCTATGCTGTCCAGATAATTATGATTCTTTGCAAAGTCTAAGAGAAAGTATGTAAAACCTTTAGAGTCGATCATATTATCATTACCATCCATGCTTAGTTGCATTTTATGCTGTAGTATTCCTTGTCAACACACCCTATGGCTACCTCGCGTAGGAGTACAATCATTCCCCATCCCCCATGCTCAGTATAGTCTGTGATGTCAACACACCCTGTGACTACCCCTCATAATAGAACAGTCATTTCACCTCCCTCCCATCCCCCATGCTCCGTATGGTCTGTGATGTCAATACACCCTGTGACTACCCCTCATAGTAGCACAATCATTTCACCTCCCTCCCATCCCCCATGCTCCGTATGGTCTGTGATGTCAACACACCCTGTGACTACCCCTCATAGTTGAACAATCATTAAACCGTCATAGTACCTGTATGACTTGCGATAGCCTTGATGGTCTTGTAGTCTATCTTTGGACAGTAGTTAAGTTTTGATACAAAGATTGCTTGTTGAGTAAAGAAATAGCGCATAGCGTCGAGAAGCTGACCTCGTTCGTCCGGCTTATTCGACAAACAATCCATGAATATCTAAAAATATAATATAAAGCTCAATTTGGTAACTTTCAAAACATCACGAGTATCTATAAATTCAGAATCGTACGAGAAGATTGTGCAATCTTTTGTTTATAATACACTCAAAAAAATTGAGCAACGTAATTGGGACTCTATAGAGTACAGTTTGGGATTTAATTGTACTCCTCTTATCCAATCAGAATCGAGTAATAATTTTGTAGGGTGTATTATGAGTTATGATATAAGCAACGGAAAGGAAAATATTCAAGGGAATAATGAAAGGTAATCAAGAAAGTTACAGCTCAAAAAAATAAAACGTATTGCATATTTAGGTATAAACCGAAGCGAAATGTGGCAACTTATTTGAATGACTGACCGACTAGCCTCTCATACGCTGTGAAAGCATTTAAAGCGAGAGGCAAGTCAGTCCAGAACAATAGCTATTCAAATTGGTCGCCATATTTTGATTGACAGTATGTTAGAAAATGGAAATATGCATTTTAGTTTTTCTTTATCTTAATAACATTTTTTCTTCTTGTTTCTTTCTTTTCTTCGCCATTTTTTCTTTCACTCGATTCTTTTCTCTTTTCATTTCTCCTATCCCTTTTTCTCTTTTTTCTTTAATCTTGAAATCCGCCTCGATGCTTTTTAAGTACTTTATATGAACCACGCTTACCTGTAATCTTGTACAAGTCCCTTTTTCGTCGTTATAATGCGCCAATACGGATTTATATTGCTCAATACATCGCTTAGTAAATTCTATATTACTCTGCATGCCACTCACGGTCACGATCAATAAGGTTAGCAATGCCAACCCTAAAACAACAGCTCTTCGCATCGTGATAATCTAACGAGAAAAATAGAACTTGCCAGTTAGAGAAAATAAATTAAATATACATAATAATTCAAATTAGTGCTAAAAGGACTTTCCTGCTTCTAATTGGCTTTCGCTTTTTAAATAAATTTGGTAATTTAAATGAATTATCCAGTTAAAATTACAGATTTTTTCCCATCGTATTTTTGTTATTTTTTCTCTACTCTATTATATATAATAACAGTAATGATGAAAAGGTAAATTATATACCGTGAAAAGATGAAAAAACTTACTGACGTTTCGGACGCTAGTCCTTCGTCGGAGGACTAGCGTCCGAAACGTCAGTAAGTTTTTTCATCTTTTCACGGTGTATAATTTACCTTTTCATCATTACTGTTTCATTAGGAACACCGACGCAGCTCACACTAGTTTTTAGCTAGTTATATCTTTATATATAATAACGACAGATAGTTTTCTATTTTCTTGTCTCTAATTTGTACTTTTTAAATCTTTCAGCTATATCTCTTTTTTTGTTATTTCTTTATTTTTATTCATTTATTTAGTTTATTTGCAGTGTAATTTGTTATATTTTACATCTTTCTTGTTGTTTATTTAACTTTCGCTTTTGGTTTTCTCATTCTTTATATGCCTATTTTTTCTCTCTGTATCAGTTCAATTTATCTTTCTGTTAACAATATCTCGACAGATTTCAAAAAAAGCTGAACACTCAAAAATCAAAACCAGATGATACTTTATTTGTTCATAAATAAATACTCGTCAAAAACTATTTCCTCTCTTCTGCAGTTGCACAAACACCATCTTAAGTAGTTTGATTTATCATCGAGTTCTCGAGTTTTCTTCGCTCCGTAAACAACAATTTAATCTTGCATTCGAAAGCTTCTGCAGCGATCTCTCTCTGCTCTTGCAGTCGTAAAAATAAATCAAAACTTCTTTTTTCTTATTAAATAACATTTCTAGAACTTCAGCCTAAAAAGGACTCATAAACTGCTTAAGTAATGGAAAAAGAGCTTTTACAGTACGAATCGAAAAACCGTGTGCCCTAGAAATATTTCTAGAATGTTCAATAGCCAATTAGAAGCGTTATTGTTATATTTCCGTTATCATGTGGTTAGAAAGTCAATTCTAATTGGGCAAAGAAGAATAGAACATTCACAGACTATTTCTAGGTTCCCACGGTTCGCAATGTAACGAAATAGTATTGTTACTGCTAAAGGTTTCTCCGCTCACAACAAATACTATTCTTGCAATTTATAAGTTTTCTTTAAGTTTACAAGCACAGACACAAATCCTCGATATTTCTATTGTAGTATTCCTGCTTTTTGAAGAACCAATGACTACTTTGTTTGTATAAAGACGTTGAAATCGTACTGAATTGATAAGAGCAAATTTCCTTTCATAGGAGATACTTAACATGATGTATAACTAGATAAATAAGAAATTATAGTTTTTAAGCAAACAAGTTGACACAAATATCTAGTTGAATTTACCCTTTTATCATTACTATAACTAACTATGGAAAGTGATCGAGTTTGTTCGACAAAACGGCATTTTTTCTTAGACTATTTTTTAAATATTTGATTCATTTAGGACAATATTTCCAGACATCGAATGCTGAACCGTCGTATGGCAGTGCGAAGCATTTACGGCTATGACAGAGATTTCGACCCCTGACACCGCTATCCGAAGAATTACAGACTGATCAGGAAGCTCGGCCGAAGCCTAAGGGAGGGTTAGTCCCCTAGACCGTAGATGGTTAACCCCTTGCTATGACCAGCATACTCAAATTTTCGATTGTGACGCTGATTGCTTTGAACGCATACTCACTCCTTTCCATGTGGGATGCGTTTAGTAAAACTAAAAAGAACGTGCATCATAGTAAATCTAATCTATTTCAAAAATTATCTGCCATAGTAAACATGATATTAGGATTTTTACTTTTTTCATTGATTGAAGCAGGACCATATTTCCAGACTTCGAATGCTAATCCGTGGCAGTGCGAAGCATTGTTTCCTCTACGCCGGAGATTCCGGCCCTGACAACGCTTTCATTTGGCAGTAACGTAACGTTTATCACTTTTACGCAATGTTTTTTTTCTTTTCTTCTTCATAAATATGACATTACATTCTTTATCTGACATTAATTAATTTACCTTTTTGCCAAAAGTTACAAAAACAATTGCCACACTGCTAAACCTAATGCAAATGTAGACAATTTTTGTACGTAAAAAATACTCAGCTGAAACTCAGCTTCAAGACAAAGATTCAACTGTGGTGTAGAAGTAGTACACTCTCCTCCACACCTCATGGGGTTTCGAGTTCGATTCTTGGACTCGGGATCATATGTGCATGAGTAGAGTTTTCCTCTCCCCACTAATTATATAACACGCGACTCTCAATTCCCATTTAATCTGTAAGTTAGCCGTGCCCTGACTTAGATCAGCTCAGAGGTTGTTTCAGGGTTCAATCTATGAGTTAACCATGCCCTGACTTAGATCAGCCCAGAGGTTGTTTCAGGGTTCAATCTGTGAGTAAGCCATGTCCTGACTTAGATCAGCCCAGAGGTTGTTTCAGGGTTCGACCTATTAGTTAGCCATGCCTTGACTTAGATCAGCCCAGAGGTTGTTTCAGGGTTCGACNAGGTTGTTTCAGGGTTCGACCTATTAGTTAGCCATGCCTTGACTTAGATCAGCCCAGAGGTTGTTTCAGGGTTCGACCTATTAGTTAGCCATGCCCTGACTTAGATCAGCCCAGGGGTTGTTTATTGGAGGTACATATTAGGAAAATACATCGGTCAAAGTAGATTGACCTTAGTGTTTAAGGGATCAACGTTCGATTTCATTTTGTTCCGCAAACCTTTCGTTCGAAATGTTGTTATGATTTTCAACCACGATCTCCTCTCAAAAAATACTACTTAACATCGAAAATGAGACATGTACTTAAAAAACACCGATAAATGTTAATACAAATAAATTTTTTCTAGAAAAATGAAATAAAACAAACCTACCTTTACCTTTCGGAACGTCTTTAGTCAAAATCCTATTTTACTTTACTTTACTTTTATATGTTATTAGCACCAATCATATTCAGTCCTTAACAATAAATGTCATTGGTGCAACAGGTTGCTAAGGACAACCGATCGCGAGCCGTCGAATTCAGTAACGCGTTTAATTGTTTTCGTGGGATGAGACATTTGATTAGTGTACGATGGAGGGATTTTATTGGTCCTCAAAAATTTATTTATCTTGATGTTTTTCTTCCTGTTCATTTTGTCTTTGATTGTTTACGTTGATGTCAATTATACATGAACTCCTAGCAAGATGAATAAAGTTAAGTACTGCAAACAGAAATCATACGATAACAATGTACGTTAATAGAGAGGTTTTTCGTATGAGTGGGAATTAAACATACGGTGCCGACTTATAGTGCGTGGGGTAGACCTTCTTGATCAGAAAGTCGAGACTATTGCCCGTACCGTTCGGAACGAGTTACATGATTGGATCAAAAAACAATAGATTGGTCATCCAAACAATAGCACTAAACCTAACCTTACAAAAGCGGTACTGTACTTAGGGAGCAATGAAAATCCAGCTTTCAAGCGCTACTGGATTACTCTATTATGCGGGGGAGAGAGCTTTCCATGAGTATTGGAAGAAGTGCCTCTTTGCTCTTAGCGACCGCATGATAGCCTGCGCCTATATTCTCTATGAAGGCAATACTTCTGATACCCCACCCATGACCCGCTACAAGTTTATGTGTTCTCTGGTGGAGGAGCTGTGTGACAGGCCAGAGAGAAGTACCATTCCATCCTTACCAAGCCAACACCGCTTGGAACAGCTGGAGGGTAGAAGGGAAAAGGACTGTGTGGTTTGATCCAACCGAATGGTACCAGGAAGGAGAAAGAGGGCCAAGGACTGAGTGCCAAAGTTGTGGTGTTGGTGTGCACATGAAGTGCTTTGACCTCCTGGACCATTCCACCAAAAGGAGGAAATGGCTTTTTGTTCACTAAAACTCATTTGGCGTGCTTGAAATATTAGTTTTTACATGGACTTCCATTTAATATTGAGTATTTGCATCCTGGTTACCATGGTGATGGTTGAATAATATTGGTGTCATGTCTGTTACATGATGTCTGGTGATAAGGAATACTAAAACAATTCAGTTTTGGGAAGAAAAATCACTACTTATTCGTGAATGATTTTTTAGATGAGACTATCTTAGTCCTGTTTGTTACGAGACATTGCTATAAAGCTATATAAATTTAGATATTTCATGGGGATGCCCAGGTACTACAACGTTTTAGGTATAAATCAAGTTTCTATGAATATAAGACATCATTTCATTAAGATTTGTGCAAAAATTAATGATTTTTCCATTCTCCAGCCTATGAAAAAGTCGATTTTTCATTTCTTTCACTTGCATTTTTTTGAAACATTGTCCTTCGCTGCTATGGTAACACATCTGATCTGTCGTATGAGTGAGTAAATGTGAAATACAGTTTCATAAGAAGTAAAATCATATGTCATTCTTGAGTTCTCTAACCATGTCACTGGGATTTTTTTATCAGACAGGTGTAAAATGCATGAAAAACCCTTGGCATTTTAGGGGTATTAAAGATTTATCATTTCATTTAGCGGAATCCAATAAAAAACTGCAAAATAGTTATTGTTTTAAGCTCAGCAGTCGCCGCAGATATTCTTTGTCAAAGAAAACCTTATAGTATTATTATCCAAAGTTTGATAGAAGCATAGTTAATAGAAGTTAATAGTTAATATTATTATTATATGACCGTGAATCTTAGAGCCTGGACACTAGCAAATCGAGCAATCTGATTGGATAGATCGCATCGCGGACTGGTCTAGATTCTCCGGTATTAACCGGTCTGATCGCATATTAATCTTACGGCGAAAACATTTTGTCCTTTTCAATGAAAAGTGGTCACATAATAAAACTCTTATCAACCGAACTTGGTCGGTCTGTACGGGATAATCTTGACCACGGTCGGGTACAGACCTCGGTCAAGATTATCCCGTACAGACCTCCCGCTCGGTTAATAAGATCTAATTAACTATGATTGAAAAGAGCACATATGTAATGAAGAAACACGTTTCAACTCTGCCGAACAAAACTATTTTGAACCATAACTACTTTTGATAGTATATTTTCGTTCAATTTTGCCTTGTATATGATAAACAGGTAATATGGTTCCTCGTAAAATTGCGGATTAATTTTGCGACTCGGGCAATTTCCAAACTTTGAAAACACTCGTGAAACTAATCCTTAATTGTAATCGCCCCATACAATTACCTCTACTAATTAATTAATGCCTCTGTTAAAGGGCCACTTGGACGAAAATCGTTCCAAAATTAAAACTCTTTCATTCGAGCTGGAACTTTGCTGAAATAATCTTGAATACATTAAGAACCATCCACTGGAATATCTTTCTGATATTCGAAAGGAAAGGGCCAAAATTTTACGATTTATTTTCGTCCGCCATTAATTTCTTTGAATCACAGAATTAGACTCAAGAAGACTGGCACGAGTACTTATGACGTCATTTACTCAACCCAAACCAAAACATTGGTGGGTAATGTATGTGCCATGTTCGTAAAACTCGGTTTATTTGGTTTATTCAGAAAATATATAATGTTTCATTCGGTTTCCTAACTACTATATGACCAAACAATGTCTAGGCGCTGAAATTTTTCAGTTTCAATAATATGACGATCATAATTCGAAAATTTCAATACATCTCGGCACGCCAAGAATCACAACAAAGTAGGACCCATGGACGAGATTCTAGCGGTTCCATCGAGCGAAGTGACTGAGATATTCGGGATTTATTCGAATCATTTTAAGGATAATAATTTTTCAAGGTATATTTACATACAAGGGCAAAGAGCAACCCCACAATTTGGGTCCGCGAGACATCCGACACAATGAAAGAAAAATCTACGAGCTGAGTGACAGACGCCGCTGTCGCGCGAGTAATAAATAAGAAACCTTTGACATGTTCTATTACAAAGATGATATTAGATAATCGTATGTTTGTACCTATTCAATGCATAATAAACATTTTGAAGCAAATAATAACCGTTCTGTAGTAATTCAGCTAGGAGAATTACGAGCTCACATTCTAAATTATTCGGCAC